TTATAATCATTTTAATAATTACCAAGAACCGGTAATTGCTTCTTGAGAAAATAGACTCTGCGTTGGACATTTGGGAATAAAACTTTCCAGATATTGCGTGTTATTTCTATAACACACGTCTACAGCCTAACCAGAGGAAGAGTTGTAAAACTTTTCCAGACTGCTCATTAAAAGTAACTTTCTAAAATGAAGCCGTTGGGGTGATTTGGTAGACAAAACTGTCCACGTTGAAAGAATATGAAATGACTGCCACAAACAACTACTTCTTGTTTCAAAACTGTGGAAATGCATGTGCCTCTTAGATACGTCCACTGTCTGTCCATCTGTCTGTCTGTCTGTCAGTTGTAAAACTTTTCCAGACTGCTCATTAAAAGTAACTTTCTAAAATGAAGCCGTTGGGGTGATTTGGTAGACAAAACTGTCCACGTTGAAAGAATATGAAATGACTGCCACAAACAACTACTTCTTGTTTCAAAACTGTGGAAATGCATGTGCCTCTTAGATACGTCCACTGTCTGTCCATCTGTCTGTCTGTCTGTCTGTCTGTCTGTCTGTTCTGTCTAGGGCTGAAAACCTATTAACTAATTTTTATTATGATTGTTCCCATAAATGCTGTTTAATTAACCCGAGTGATAACCCCACAATGCCAAGCCACAACTTCATAGGTTTATCAGTGTGTTGCTCCATCTATTGTGTAGGGGGAAAAAAGAAAAAGTAATCAGAATTGGAAATACACCATCCATATTTCAGATAACTAAGTGTGGCTAGTAAGAATATAAGAGGAAATACATTGCGTTCATGTTCTAGAATTCTTACTATTATTCAAAAACAGCTCTCATTCTTCTGGTAAGGATAAATCAATAAAGGAGCAATTCCTTCTCTTATCCAAATTAGCTCATCAGTAACTCATAGAAAATGTATCAGCAAATATCTCACAAAATAGATCTCTAGTCCTTGTGTTCAACTTGAGTATTTATTGGCTTTGAAATATAAAAGCCAGTTCTTTTCAAATTAGGCAGTCTTTCCCTCCCTCTCTTTCCATGGGATTTTCCTACCTCACCTAAAGTGAAATGCAGATTGCAAAAGTCTTGTCCATTCAGTTAAAATAGAAAGATAGGGTTCTAGACACAGAAAGCAAGTGAGGTCATTCTGTAATAAGAAGAATTCCTAGATAATGTGCGATGCTTCATGTGTGATGTTTTGTTTATATGGTTTAGTAAGTATCTGATGGGAGGAGATACTCTTACTTTGTGGCTGGCTGGCTGGCTGGTTGGTTGATTAGTTGACTGGTTTTCTATACCACCACAATTTATTACACCACTACTCTGGCAGGTTTGCAAATGAGACCCGCAAACCCCCCACCAAACTGCAAAAACCACATTCTTGACGCTTTTCTTTATAAAGTTATGGTTTTAATAATTAACTAAAAGTCAGAAGGAACAGAGCCTGGCATACACCAGATGGAAATCTATTCCACAGTGTAGGGGGCCACAATCAAGAAGGTCCAATTTCTTCCTGTCATCCTTTTCATCTTACTTTTTCTCCACCCTCAATGCAGTGGTTTGGGAGGACCGTATAAATCAGTGGTTCTTAACCTTTGTTACTCGGATGCTTTTGAACTGCAACTCCCAGAAACCCCAGTCAGGACAGCTGGTGGTGAAGGCTTCTGGGAGTTGCAGTCCAAAACTCCTGAGTAACCCAAGGTTAAGAACCAGTGGTATAAATAGGAAGCTGTATTCTGGAAGAAATGTTATGACCAATACTGAGGTCCTAAATATGTTTTGGTCTTTATAGGTCAGCACCAGAGGAAATCATCTTCATCCTCCTCATCATCATGGATGACCCTGCATATCATCTAGTCCAGCAGCTTTTAAAGAGGTCCAGTAGGGAGTAAAACTCCTTATCTCTGGCTGTGCAGCCAGATGCTTAAACCAGCAAGTTATGTAGTATTTCTATGGGGCCCCTCCTTTGCACCAGTGCGCAAAAGGTATAAGCAGAGATCACAGTTGCAATTAATTTGAAGATTTATTTCAGTCAAAGCAGGTCAGTGGAGAATAAGATCCACAACATGAAGGCACAATATAAAAGAAGTCACAGGAAAATGAAGGAATTTCTAACACAATGCAATTCAGTGGTGGAACAAAACATTCAAAGCAGAGCAACCTGAATTAAAGTTTCAGACCAAATTTTGATTATGCATTACCAGCCACAGTTAGCCCTTTATAAAACACTATATTTGCCCCTAAACGTCCACCAGCTCTCTTGCTGAAGCTCATGGTTTTCCAGCTGTTTGGCCTAAAGAGTCAGAAAGGAAGACATATAGCTACCTATTCCAAATACCAGGTTCTTGCAGACTATGGGGAATATGGAAGGAAATTGATCCAGAATAATCCAGATGGGAAAATGAGAAGGAAAGATGCAAAACATAGGAGCAAAATCACTGGGTTGTGGGTGTGTTTGTAAGGAATAAATAAAAGGAAAAAAAATAGGGAGGAGTATAATCTTGCGGGATGAGTAATCTAACCCACAGTGAAAACTAACGTTACACTCAGGATCAAGAGACAACTGGGCCAAAAGCCCCAGAACAGTCAAAATCTGCAAAAAAATGTAAACTATGTGATTGAAAAGTGAACTAAAGAGCTTCTGCATGTAAATGTCAATGAATGGGACTCTTTCCCCCATGCAACAATCACTTTTTGTTTCCTGATGCCCCTAATTTCTCTGCGTTCAGGTTGGCTTCCTTAGCTTTACCTCTAAAACTCAGTTTTGTGTCGGTAGGTGGCAAGCTGGGAGAAAAAGTGTATTGCACTACATTTCGTTAAACCCCCAAAATTAAATCACCCCCTGTGGCATACCAAATGACCATAGCATCAAGCCACGCTGTGAGCCATGAGCCACGGAAAGCATCTGACCTTGTAGCCTGTCAAACTGTTCCGTTGTCTTCCGGTTCAGACATGTAGGGAAAGCCAAGACGGGGCATATGTGGTCAGACCTACTAGTCTACCTGAGACGTTTTTAACCTGCTGGAGTTTTCCTATTGTTTTGAAGGCCAGCCCTATATTGAGCATTTCAGCAGACTATTTTGAGGTTTGCAATGCGTTAACCCATGTTATCAGGCATTTTTGTACAGGTACAGGGGCAACTGGACAATCAATTGAAGCTCATAAAAGGTGCTTTTGGCCACAGATGACGTTTCAGATGCTGTGGAGACAGGCGAGTACAGGAGCGCACTCAAACCCGATCTTTCAGGGGGAATGTAATCCCATCCGGGCCAGACATATTTTGCTCTAATCAGTCCAATTGACCTAACAAAAAAGGGATCTCCCTCTTTTCTGGATTTGGTTTCAAATTTGCCTCTGTCCGATCTATTATCATGGCTGAGCAGCGTTCATGGACCCAAACAGCGTTCTCTACATATGAAGCAAAGAAAAGAGAGAACTGCATGTCACTATTATAATGGTGGCAACACAGCACAAAACTCCCAATGACTTCGCATAGTGTTTTCAGAAACTAGTGATAAGGAGTGAGAGTGAGCTATCCTTGATCTTGTCCATCATCTCTTGTGAAGTATGTTTGTATGCTAGTAAAGTCTTTTCATTTCATTCTTTTTTCCACCTTCTAAGCTGCTCCTTGGTGTTCAATTCAGGCCTCAAGAGAATAATGTAAACCTTGGGAGCAAAGATGCAAATCAAGAGGCCAGCACTGGAAGCTAAGATAGAGAAGATCTCCACAGCAACCATGTGTTTCCCCTTGGTGCTCAAATAGGTGGGAACAAAGGACACCCAAACACTGCAGAAGACCACCATGCTGAAGGTGATGAACTTGGCCTCATTAAAAGTGTCTGGAAGTTTCCTGGCTAAGAAGGCCAACATGAAGCAGACGAGGGCTAAAAAGCCCAAATAGCTCAGGACAAGATAAAACATGATAACAGAGCCTCCGTTACATAATTCAATAATCTCTTCATTCAACAATTGCATGTCAAATGCTGGGAATGGGGGAGATGTTCCTAACCACACAGAACAAATTCCTGCTTGACCCAAGGAGCAGGAGAGCACAATGCAGTTTGCTGTCCTTCTTCCCAGCCATTTCTTCATGTTGGATCCTGGTTTGGTGGCCATGAAAGCCACAACCACGGTGATGGTTTTGGCCAAGACACAAGAAACGGCCACTGAAAAGATGATGCCAAAGGCCGGCTGTTGGAGGAGGCAGCTCAACTTTCCAGGTCGTCCAAGAAAGAGCAAAGAAGAGAGGAACGTCCAAGAAAGAGCAAAGACGAGAGGAAGCAGAGGAGGAGAGAGATGAGGAGAGTGTAGGTGAGGTCCCGATTGTTGGCTTTGACAATGGGGGTGTCTTTGTGCTTCATGAGAATTCCTAAGACCCAGGCTGTGATCAGGGAAAAAGAGAGAGCAACCAAGGCTAAACCCCACCCTAAAGGTTCTTCATGAGACAAAAAGATTTCAAGTTTGGGCAGGCATCCATTTTTGTTCTCATTTGGGTACTCGTCTTCAGGACATTTGAAACAGTCATCCATATCTGAAGAAAGAAACAGAGGAACAGGTCACTGAAAGTAAAAATAAAGTAAAGTAAAATATAGTAAAGTAAAATAAAGTAAAATAAAGTAAAGTGAAATATAATAAAATAGAATTATTGTTTCAGACATATGATCCCTTTCTCAGTGCTGTTTTTGTTTTCAAGGAGAAAGACCTGTTTTATTCTAATAAACTATGATACATACTCAATAATACTGCAGCCAAGGAAACATTTCCCTGCTTCAGGTTTTAGATGAAGCCATCGAAAGCACACACAGTAAGGATTAGTTGAAATAATGAGGGGTTAAAATTACATAGCATGTTAATCAGCAGAAATACACCACTGCAGGGGACATCATTTTTCTTCCACTGGTGTGAGTCAGGAAAGATTACTCTGGACTCTATTTCACATATTGTTGGTTTCTTGCACACGAGATGCCATTGAAGCCTAAGCAACCCATCATCTGTAGTTGAAAGCTGCTGTCTGGCTCTGTGTAGATGCGTTTGCATGTGTGTTTCTCCAAAGGCACAAAAGCAAGCCTATTTTTGAGGTATTACCTGGGTCTCTCCTATGCCTTGTGTCCTCACACTGGGTGATCTGCCATGCCAGTATAGGACTCACTGGGCCATTGTGAATAAGAACACAAAGGGATCTCCTGCAACTCATGAGCGCAGTTCTAATGATTTGTACACCTCTCCTTTCCCCTAGAGAGCC